CAAGAAAGAAAGGAGATTCCACCTGAACACGAGGAAGAACTTCCTGACTGTAAGGAGAGCTGTTCAGCAGTGGAACTCTCTACCCCAGTGGTTCTCAACCTGTGGGTCCCCAGGTGTTTTGACCTACAACTCCCAGAAATTCCAGCCAGTTTACCAGCTGTTAGGATTTCTGGTAGCTGAAAGCCAAAACATCTGGGGACCCACAGGTTGAGAACCACTGCTCTACCCCAAAGTATAGTAGAGGCTCCTTCTAAACAGAGGCTGGATGGCCATCTGTCAGGGGTGCTTTGAATGCAATTTTCCTGCTTCTTGGCAGAATGGGGTTGGACTGGATGGCCCATGAGGTCTCTTCCAACTCTAGGATTCTATGTTTCTATCCTCTGGGGTATGACTATCCCTCCCAATTTACTGCCATCTGCAAATTGGATAAGCAAGAAGCATGCCTTCCATTCCATCATCCAAATCATTGACAGTGACTTGAAACTTGGAGACTGAGGTTGAATTCCTCGCTTGGCCACAGAAACCCACTAAATGACCTTGGATAAGTCACACTCTGAGCCCTAGAAAAGCCGACGACATGTCCACTTTATTGTCATCGCAATAAGGGAGCGACATGAAGGCGCACGACAACCATGGTTGCAGCAGCAGCCCCACCTCCGAGTTTGCAGCTCCTTCCCGAGTGCCTGCTCCTCATCCTCCAGCTTCAAGGAGAGCATCCTTCTCCCAAGGTAACGGCTGGTGGGTGAAGGGCTCTTCAGAGGAGCGTGAGGCAGCCGGCCTTTGTGGGAGAGGCGGTGCATCGCTGAATGCCTCATCACCAAGAGGGACCTCAGTCATCCGGCAGCATAATAGGCAGGGTATTAATAGCTGCCCGGGTAGGAGGCAAGGAGCCTCTCCCCTCGTCTGGGCGCTTTGACGCCCCTGCCATCACAATGGCGTGCCGCTGCTCGTGGCACTCTCTCCAGGAGGCAGACAAAGCCAAGCGTCTGAACAGGCAGGGAACACAACCGCAGCGGTGGCTTGGCGGCGTCACGACACGGAGCCGGGAGACAGAGCTCTCCATCTCTCCAGGGCCTTGGGTTTGGAAAGTCCAGGAGGCACGTTGGGCATCTCCGTTGGGCCGTTCTTCCAAGAAGGGGATTCTGGGGGTCCTTCTCCATCTCCACTTCATCCAACTCCATTCCAGTTCTACTCAACACGCACACAAAGCCAAAGGGGAAAGTATGTCAAGATTTGGGGTGGAGAGTCATCCGTATGTTGACGATATTCAAGAAGAATATCTTCTTCGCGTTTGGATGTCTCCTTCAGGCCATTCAGCTTCGCGTTTGGATGTCTCCTTCAAGCCATTCTTCCAAGCAGAAGATTTTTGGGGGAGTCTTTTAGGTCTCTACTTTGTCCCACTCCATCCTATGTAATTCTGCTCCACACTTACATAAAACCAATGCAGATGGTGTGTCAAGATTTAGGTGGAGGGTGATCCATAGAGTCTCCAAGTTATAATCCAAGCCTCAAAACACTATCAACAACATGGATGGTGGAATACATAGAATCATAGCATTGGAAGAGACCTCATGGGCCATCCAGTCCAACCCCCTGCCAAGAAGCAGGAATATTGCATTCAAATCACTGAACATGAGTATAGCGTTGAGACGGATGGAATTATAGTCCCACTCTATTGTGTTTTGGTCAGACCTCACCTAAAATCATAGAATCAAAGAGTTGGAGGAGACCTCCTGGGCCATCCAGTCCAACCCCATTCTGCCAAGAAGCAGGAATATTGCATTCAAATCACCCCTGACAGATGACCATCCAACCTCTGTTTAAAAGCCTCCAAAGAAGGAGCATCCACCACACTCTGGGGCAGAGAGTTCCACTGCTGAACGGCTCTCACAGTCAGGAAGTTCTTCCTCATGTTCAGATGGAATCTCCTCTCTTGTAGTTTGAAGCCATTGTTCCGTGTCCTAGTCTCCAAGGAAGCAGAAAACAAGCTTGCTCCCTCCTCCCTGTGGCTTCCTCTCACATATTTATACATGGCTATCATATCTCCTCTCAGCCTTCTCTTCTTCAGGCTAAACATGCCCAGCTCCTTAAGCCGCTCCTCATAGGGCTTGTTCTCACATTCAAAGCACGTCTGACAGATGACCATCCAACCTCTGTTTAAAAGCCTCCAAAGAAGGAGCCTCCACCACACTCCGGGGCAGAGAGTTCCACTGCTGAACAGCTCTCCCAGTGGAGAAGTTCTTCCTCATGTTCAGGTGGAATCTCCTTTCCTGTAGTTTGAAGCCTTTGCTCCATTACGTCCTGGTCTCCAGCACAGCAGAAAACAAGCTTGCTCCCTCTGCCCTATGACTTCCTCTCACATATTTATACATAGCTATCATGTTGCCTCTCAGCCTTCTCTTCTTCGGGCTAAACATGACCAGCTCCTTAAGCCGCTCCTCATAGGGCTTGTTCTCCAGATCCTTGATCATTTTAGTCGCCGTCCTCTGGACACATTCCAGCTTGTCAACATCTCCCTTCAATTATGGTGCCCAGAATTGGACACCGTATTCCAAATGTGGTCTAACCAGGGCAGGAGAAAACAAGCTTGCTCCCTCCTCCCTATGACTTCCCCTCACATACTCATACATGGCTATCATGTCTCCTCTCAGTCTTCTCTACTGCAGGCTAAACATGATATCCAACCAGAGCTTGGAATAGAAGTTCATATCCTCCAACTATTTCATCTTCCTGTGTGAACATGAATAATTAAACTAACATGGGAGAAACCAAATGTAATTCCGGAGTATTTTCCCAAGTATTGCATGTAAATGTCATGATTCCTTTTGTAGTCGTGTCTTGGGGAATAACTGGGGACATGTGTTTGTTGTGTATGTGGAGAGGCCACCTGGCATGAACCTTAAAGGAGTCTTCAGGAAACCATCAAAAGTGTAATTGCACCGGGATCTCGGGAAGGAAGGAAAAGACTCCTTCTCAGTGAGTTCAAAGTGTGACTTATGATCCTGGGAGCAAATGGCATGTAAGTCTTTGTAAAGGTCATTCAAGAAGGGTCTTCCAGTCTTAACAAAAATTCCTTGTGCTGGGAAGGCTACTGATCATTGACAATATAGTAGTTTTGGAAATGAAAAGATTCTTCATGCCAGGATCACTATCTATCTATCTATCTATCTATCTATCTATCTATCTATCTAATCATCACTATTTATTTATTTTCTTTATCATGTCAGGGGCAACCAGACCATTGTATTACATTTCTAACAGAACAAAACAAACAAACAGATAAAAAAACACAAAGTTTGCAAACTTGGTAGTTGATTAAATGTCCTTTGACCAGTATCTGGCCACTTGGAGTGCCTCTGATGTTGCCGCAAGGAGGTCCTCCATTGTGCATTTAGCAGGGACCAAGTTGCATTGCAGCAGGTGATCTGTAGTTTCCTCTTCTCCACACTCGCATGTCGTGGATTCCACTTTGTGGCCCCATTTCTTAAGGTTGGTTCTGCATCTCGTGGTGTCAGAGCGCAGTCTGTTCAGCGCCTTCCACGTCGCCCAGTCCTCTGTGTGCCCAGGGGGGAGTCTCTCATCTGGTATCACCCACGGATTGAGGTGCTGGGTTTGAGTCTGCCACTTTTGGACTCTCGCTTGCTGGAGTGTTCCAGCGAGTGTCTCTGTAGATCTAAGAAAACTATTTCTTGATTTAAGTCATTGACATGCTGGCTGATACCCAAACAGGGGATGAGGTGGAGATGTCTCTGCCTTGGTCCTTTTGCTATTGGCTGCTACTTCCCGGCGGATGTCAGGTGGTGCAATACCAGCTAAGCAGTGTAGTTTCTCCAGTGGTGTAGGGCACAGAACATCCTGTGAAAATGCGGCATGTCTCATTAAGAGCCACATCCACTGTTTTAGCGTGGTGAGATGTGTTTTACACTGGGCATGCATACTCAGCAGCAGAGTAGCATAGTGCAAGGACAGATGTCTTCACTGTGTCTGGTTGTGATCCCCAGGTTGTGCCAGTCCGCTTTCGTATGATATTGTTTCTAGCACCCACTTTTTGCTTGATGTTCAGGCAGTGCTTCTTGTAGGTCAGAGAACGGTCCAGAGTGACTCCCAGGTATTTGGGTGCACTGCAATGCTCCAGTGGGATTCCTTCCCAGGTAATCCTCAGAACTTGGGATGCTTGTCTGTTCTTAAGGTGAAAGGCACATGTCTGTGTTTTAGATGGATTATGGATCAGCTGGTTTTCCTTGTAATGGGTAGTAAGAGCACCTAGAAGTTTGGAGAGCTTCTGTTCAACCATCTCAAAGCTCCCTGCTTGAGTGGTGATGGCATGATCATCAGCATAGATGAAACTCTCTGTCCCTTCTGGCAGTGGCTGGTCATTTGTGTAGATGTTGAACATGGATGGAGCAAACATGCTCCCCTGAGGCAGGCTGTTCTGTTTCCGCCATCTGCTTTTCTGGCCCTGGAACTCAACAAAAAAGCTCCTGTTTTGTAGCAGGTTTCCTATGAGGTGGGTGAAGTAATTGTCCTTTGTGATACTATACATTTTTCTCAGGAGGAGGCGGTGGTTTACAGTATCATAAGCTGCTGACAGGTGTATGAAGACAGCTCCTGTGAACGAACACAGTGGGATCAGCTGGTTTTCCCTGTAATGGGTAGTAAGAGCACCTAGAAGTTTGGAGAGCTTCTGTTTAACTAGATCAAAGCTCCCTGCTTGAGCAGTGATGGCACGATCATCAGCATAGATGAAAATAATATATTGTTAGTCATTGCCAAGATCACTGATAATATATTATTGTGTATACATGTATGATACTCAAGGTCATGTGGACATTATTCTTCTTTAACATCTTCTAGTTACTAACACCTTGTGTAACATCCAAAGGCTCCTCTGCCCAGCCTCAGAGGGCATTGCTGTGGTCCTTCAATAGCCATGGGAGGGAGGTGACCGCCATCATGGAGTTATCGTCATGCTAACCTACTTGTTTTTCTCCTCTTGGCAGGGCCTCCACTGGTACGGTGTGTGCCAGTACCATGGAAAAGCTTTTCCTGCCTCTTTTGATGCTTGGCACCATGGCGAAAGCTCAGCACTGCCCCGGCCGTTGCATCTGCCAGAACATCTCCCCGACGTTGACCATGCTGTGTGCCAAAACGGGCCTCCTCTTTGTGCCGCTCTCCATCGACCGGCGCACGGTGGAGCTGCGCCTGACGGACAACTTCATCACCGTCATCCGCCGGAAGGACTTCTCCAACATGACCAACCTGGTGCACCTCACCCTCTCCCGCAACACCATCAGCCAGATCATGCCCTTCGCCTTCTCCGACCTGCGTGCCTTACGGGCCCTGCACATGAACAGCAACCGCTTGGCCGCCTTGAAGAACGAGCACTTCCGAGGGCTGAGCAACCTCCGGCACCTCATCCTCGGGAACAACCAGATCAACAACATCGAGGCATCCTCCTTTAACGAGTTCCTCTCCACCGTGGAAGATCTGGATCTGTCTTACAACAATCTGGAGACACTGCCGTGGGAAGCCATCGGGCAAATGGTGAGCCTCAACACCCTCACGCTGGACCACAACCTCATCGACCACATTGCCGAGGGCACCTTCTCCCAACTCCAGAAGCTGGTGAGGTTAGACATGACCTCCAACCGGCTCCAGAAGTTGCCCCCAGACAACCTCTTCTTGAGGGCTCAAGTGCTGGCCAACGTCCGTGGGACTCACCCTTCCTCCTTGACCATCAGCTTTGGAGGTAACCCTTTGCACTGCAACTGTGAGCTTCTTTGGCTCCGAAGGTTAACGAGGGAGGACGACTTGGAGACCTGCGCATCTCCAGAGCACCTGATGGACAAGTATTTCTGGTCCATCCCTGAAGAAGAGTTCATCTGCGAACCTCCGCTCATCACCCGCCAATACGCGACCAAGGCGTTCATCATGGAAGGACAAGGGGTGAGCCTCAAGTGCAAAGCCGTGGGGGACCCAGAGCCCTCCATCCACTGGATCGCACCCGATGGCAAGTTGATCCACAACACAACCCGGGCCACGGTCTACGACAACGGCACCCTGGACGTCCTCATCACCACCTTGAAGGACAACGGCATCTTCACTTGCATTGCCTCCAATGCGGCTGGAGAGGCCACCGCCCCTGTCGAAATCTGCATCGTCCCCCTCCCTTTGCTCGTCAACAACACTGCCCACATGAAGGAACCTGACCCCGGCTCCTCCGACATCACCACCTCCTCCAAATCCGGAGCCAATGACACCAAGAACCACCTGGACAAGAGGATCGTCGCCGCCGATCTGACGTCCACCTCGGTGGTCATCCATTGGCCCTCCGAGCGGCACATCCCTGGCATCCGTATGTACCAGATCCAATACAACAGCTCCTTGGATGACTCTTTGGTTTACAGGTGAGCCAAGTGGGTTGGGGGTTGATCTAATGTGTCATGTTCACATATAATGTGCCACCCTGATGATGCCAGGAGGAAAGAGCACAGAATGTGGCATCTTGGCACCCTCCAAACGTGAGGACATTGCCATGTTGTGTGATGACTCTCTCTGCCATCCTGTTAGTAACATATGTGTACGTAAACCCACCTTAGGCCTGCATGCCCGCTTTTTCATAATTGCAGAGGTTGTTATTCTCTTCCATGCTCTACAAAGTACTCCTAGTAACTGTTGTAGACCATGGAGGAGTAGAGATTAGGCCTGGGTAACAACGGAAAAATTTGTTTCTAAAATCGATATGTATTTGGGGGGTTTTTTTGTTTCGATATTTAAAATAATTACAAAATTTTCCTTTTAAAAAGTTCGATATTTACGAAATTTCGTAAATGGTAAAAAATTAACGAATCGATTTCCGAAACAATAACGAATCGATTCGTTAATGGCGACCGCGAAATACGCTAAAAAACCTCCAAAACCTTCTGAAGCTTCCCTCTCCCTCTGTTGTTGACTGTTGGTGTGATATTATAATTTTTTTTCACTAATTAAACCATAAAACTGGCCCATATACGGAAATAATAACGAAACGACCTCAAAACAATAACGAAACGAATACAATATCGAAATACGAAGCATTTACAAAACGTTTTTGAAAATTCGTTTTTTTTTAATAATTGCTCCAGAATGGTTCGTTATCGTTTTGTAATTGAAAAAATTAACGAATTATTAACGAATTACGAATTAACGAAACGAAACCGCCCAGCCCTAGTAGAGATGCATCTGGTGATGGGCAACAGTGTGAAGCAGGGTGCGGGCATTTATTTATTTTAATTTATTTACAGCTTTTATATTCCGCCCTTCCCACCCCGCAGGGGACTCAGGGCGGATTACAGTGTACACATATATGGCAAACATTCAATTCCAATTTTTGACATACAAACATATACAGACATACACAGAGGCTATTTAACTTTTTTCTGGCCGCCAGGGGAGCTGTCGCTTTCATCGTCCATCTGCGACGCTGATGAAGCACTTCCGCATTCCCCGCATGCTTCCCCGCTGGAATGCTTTGCTGGAGTCTTCTTTATGGCCTCATAAATTAGTTAATTTAGCCTCCCCACACTTTAAGGTGGTACCTAATTTTCCTACTTGACAGATGCAACTGTCTTTTGGGTTGCAAAGGTCGACAACAGGCTACACACAATTGGTTGGAAACCCACTCCAACCCGGGCTGGCTTCGAACTCATGACCTTTTGGTCAGAGCGATCTTAATGCAGCTGACATTCAGCCAGCTGTGCCACAATCCCAGACATCACCTGCCCTTTAGATTTTGGAAGAAGGTGCCATCATTCAGTGTCTGGCTATGGGACGTAGCCTGCATATACGCAACCCACAATAGAGTTTGAGAGTGCGTCTCTGTCTGATTTTATTATGCTGCTTTATATTGTCGATTTTATTCATTATTTCATATTTTGTTATGATGCATTTTGTTATTGTGTGTTTATTATGTTGTATTATTTTGGGCCTGGCCTCATGTTAGCCGCCCCGAGTCCCCTTTGGGGAGATGGTGGTGGGTTATAAATAAAGTAGTTATTATTATTATTATTATTATTATTATTATTATTATTATTGTCGAAGGCTTTCATGGCCGGAATCACTGGGTTGTTGTAGGTTTTTTCGGGCTATATGGCCATGTTCTAGAGGCATTTCTCCTGACGTTTCACCTGCATCTATGGCAAGCATCCTCAGAGATCCTCACTACCTCTGAGGATGCTTGCCATAGATGCAGGCGAAACGTCAGGAGAAAATGCCTCTAGAACATGGCCATATAGCCCGAAAAAACCTACAACAACCCATTATTATTATTATTATTATTATTATTATTATTATTATTATTATCATCAATTTTTGGCACGCTCTACATTGTCCAGCATAGGCTGGACAATGTAGGATATCAGCTTACATATGTCCACACAAAATTAGATATCAACTGTTCCAAAGTAGGCCATGATCTTGCTAGAACAACTGAAAGGAAGAAGATAAGGTAAAGGTAAAGGTTTTCCCTTGACATTAAGTCCAGTCGTGTCCAACTCTGGGACTCTGGTGCTCATCTCCATTTCTAAACCGAAGAGCCGGCTTTGTCCATAGACACCTCCAAGGTCATGTGGCCAGCATGACTACATGGAGCACCGTTATCTTCCTGCCGGAGTGGTACCTATTGATCTACCCTGAACGGTTTGGGACCCAACCTACCTTTGCGACCGCATCTCCTACCATAAACCTGCATGATCAATCTTCTGGAGAGGCTCTCCTTTCGCCCCTTCCCCTATCACAGGCACGGTTAGTGGGTACGAGGGAGAGCCTTCTCTGCTGTGGCCCCTCAACCTTGGAACTCACTACCAGGTGAGATTAGGCAAGTCCCCACCCTAGCAGCTTTTAAGAAAGAACTAAAAACATGGCTTTTCTGATGTGCCTTCGGAGAGTGACCATCCAACCCAATTTTGTTAGTTTCCACCAACAGTTTGTTTACACGATGCACTTTTCCCTCTCCATAATGAAGCCCAAACCCCACTGCTCCCCCGTCTCAGCTCCTCCTTTACAAATAGAATCATAGACTCATAGTTGGAAGAGACCTCATGGCCATCCAGTCCAACCCCATTCTGCCAAGAAGCAGGAATATTGTATTCAAATCACCCCTGACAGATGGCCATCCAGCCTCTGTTTAAAAGCTTCCAAAGAAGGAGCCTCCACCACACTCCGGGGCAGAGAGTTCCACTGCTGAACGGCTCTCACAGTCAGGAAGTTCTTCCTCATGTTCAGATGGAATCTCCTCTCTTGTAGTCTGAACCCATTGTTCCATTGCGTCCTAGTCTCCAAGGAAGCAGAAAACAAGCTTGCTCCCTCCTCCCTGTGGCTTCCTCTCACATATTTATACATGGCTATCATATCTCCTCTCAGCCTTCTCTTCTTCAGGCTAATCATGCCCAGCTCCTTAAGCCGCTCCTCATAGCTAGTCTCCAGGGAAGCAGAAAACAAGCTTGCTCCCTCCTCCTCCCTGTGGCTTCCTCTCACATATTTATACATGGCTATCATATCCCCTCTCAGCCTTCTCTTCTTCAGGCTAAACATGCCCAGCTCCTTAAGCCGCTCCTCATAGGGCTTGTTCTCCAGACCCTTGATCATTTTAGTCGCCCTCCTCTGAACACATTCCAGCTTGTCAACATCTCCCCTGAATTGTGGTGCCCAGAATTGGACACAATATTCCAGGTGTGGTCTAAGCAAAGCGGAATAGAGCATGGGGAGCATGACTTCCCTAGATCTAGACACTAGGCTCCTATTGATGCAGGCCAAAATCCCATTGGCTTTTTTTGCCGCCACATCACATTGTTGGCTCATGTTTAACTTGTTGTCCACGAGGACTCCAAGATCTTTTTCACACGTACTGCTCTCGAGCCAAGCGTCCCCCATTCTGTATCTTTGCATTTCGTTTTTCCTGCCAAAGTGGAGTATCTTGCATTTGTCACTGTTGAACTTCATTTTGTTAGTTTTGGCCTCATCTCTCTAATCTGTCAAGATCGTTTTGAATCCTGCTCCTGTCCTCTGGGCTATTGGCTATCCCTCCCAATTTGGTGTCGTCTGCAAACTTGATGATCCTGCCTTCTAACCCTTCATCTAAGTCATTAATAAAGATGTTGAGCAGGACCGGGCCCAGGTCAGAACCCTGCGGCACTCCACTCGTCACTTCTTTCCAAGATGAAGAGGAAGCATTGGGGAGAATCACCCTCTGGGTTCGTCCATTTAACCAATTACAGATCCACCTCACCATAGTTTTGCCTAGCCCACATTGGACTAGTTTGTTGCCAGGGTTTATATACAGAGATGCGGTCACGCAGGTAGCTGGGGCTGACAGCGGGAGTTCATGCCGCTCCCCGAATTCAAACCTGCGGCCTTTCGGTCCACAAGTTTAGCAGCCCAGCAGTTTAACACACTGCGCCACCGGGGTTAGTTCCCCAAAGGAAGAAAGCAAAGGTTTCTATCTCAGTCACTCCAGCCTTTGTTGCTACTAGTTGGAAACGTGGCAACAGAGGTTTGGGGAAGGCCAAGGTGGGGAAAAGGATGTGTTTCTCGCCCTAAAATGGTGCCACAGGAGCAGGGTATATTTGGGAAGAAGCTGAGGGAAGGAGACAGATATATCCGGGCAGCGAGATAGATCAGAGCTGGAAACGCCTTGCTGGCATTGTTATTGTTACGTGCCTTGAAGTCAAGCCTGGATTTACGGCCTCCCTCTCTTCGTGCTTTCTTGGCCGGATTCCTTCGGAGGAGCTTTGCCATTGCCATTCTCGGAGGACGGGAGTGTTTGATATGCCTCCTTCTCCATTGCGCTTCCTTGACTAAATGGGGATTTGAAGCTCCAGAAATCAAAAACCATGACACCTCACTCCTTGGTGATAAGTGCGCCTTTGAGTCACTTCTCATCTTATAGTAATCCCATGAAATTAGTAGGGTTTTCTTAACCAATATAGCAATATAGAGCCTTGTATTCCTTGGCCACCAGCGGCACAGCGGGTTAAACTGCTGAGCTGCTGAACTTCCTGATTGAAAGGTTGGCGGTTCAAATCTAGGGAGCAGGGTGAGCTCCTGCTGTTAGCCTCAGCTTCTGCCAACTTAGCTGTTCGAAAACATGCAAATGTGAGTAGATCAATAGGTACCGCTCCAGTGGCCACATGACCTTGGAGACGTCTATGGACAATGAAACTGCTGTGCTGCTGAACTTCCTGATTGAAAGGTTGGCGGTTCAAATCCAGGGAGCAGGGTGAGCTCCTGCTGTTAGCCCCAGCTTCTGCCAACCTAGCAGTTCGGATACATGCAAATGTGAGTAGATCAATAGGTACCGCTCCGGTGGGAAGGTAAAAGCGCTCCATGCAGTCATGCTGGCCACATGACCTTGGAGACGTCTATGGACAAT